TCCAGATGAGACATCTGTCCCAAGGTTCTGGACAAGGGCTGAGTATACTGTTCTAGTTTTTTTCTCTTTCCTTTTGCTATATGTCTAACCACCAAGGCCTTGATTTAATCCAAGGGTGGGGAACCTGTGGCTTTGAGGCCACATGTGGCTTTCTAGGTCCTTGGGTGCAGCCTTTTGACTGAGTCTGTTTTACAGAACAAATCCTTTCATTAAGGGGATTTATTCTATGAAGTTTGGATTCAGTCAAAGGGCTACACTTGAGGACCTAGAGGGCCACATGTGGCCTTGAGGCTGCAGGTTCCCCACCCCTTATTTAAGTGCATGTTGGCATTTTTTCCCTCTACATTCTTGGCTTCCCCCTTCTTTTTTCTGCTTGTAACGGATAATGGCTAGATAAGACCTACTGCTCTATCTACTTGCACTCTTTGCCCTGTCGGGAGTTTCACAATGATACTTACCTAATATGTACTTCTACACAATTGGCACACAGTGCCATAGATATGGCACAGATGTGACCATATTTAGCCATATCTGACTCTCTATTTAATCAACTGATACAAAGTTGAGTGGGCTGGGAGTCTAGTTTCTGTCCTCTATAGAGGAAGGAATAGGAAGGTGGTTGGTACTCCATCCTCCAGCCCTCCAATCAGAGGCTGAGGGAGGTGGTGTCAATCAAGTTAGCAGTAGGATGCTGGTTTATCTTTCATTTTTTCCCAAGAGGACCAATGACATCACAAGGTGATGTCTTGACTCGAACTTAAATTGGATTTAAGTGAGTCAGAGTTGCACGAAATCATCAGCCTCACCCTTCCAGAGTCATCAAAGTCCAGTGGCAAGATAAAAGTGAAGACGACTGGTGATGGTCCAGGATGCAGTGGATGACTGGTATTTCCAATATCTGACCAAGCTCTAAGCTCTCTGTTTCAGTGCCTGTTTCAGCTGCCTTCACAGCCGTTAGAACAAATTGTTCTCATCTGTCCATTCCGCCAGGGGAAGTCTTCACATGCTAGGGGTAGACACCCCCTTAACTCACCAATGGATTCCATGCCCATCAGTTACTTTCAACCTGGTTTATGCTGTCTAGTGAGATGGTTTATGAGGGTGTGTCTGCTGCACATGCTACAGCTTCTTGGAGCCACAGGTTAGAGCTGAATGCGAGGTGGACACCAGAGGTGGATGAGCAGCCCTGAAAAGGGCCCTTACACCAGAGGTGCTAGTGCTTTGAGGTGATGAGTTTATCCCAGGAGGGGCATTTTGTGCAGTGGAGTGGAAACCAGGCAGAGCAGCAGATGCAAAGTAGAGGTGACATGGTCAAAAGAAGCGAAGTAGATAACAGAGGTAGAAACCTTGATACGTTAACAAGATATTAATACCTGGTGATCCGTTAACAGAATTAAAGGTGGCAATCTAACAGAAGGAATAAAAATTGGACCCACCTTTTCAGGGCCTTCAAGAGCTAAGTCCTAGACAAATTAGGAAAAACAGCTAGGTGGTACAGTGGATAGAGTGCTGGGTCTGGAGTCAGGAAGACTCCTCTTCCTGAGTTCAAATCTGGCCTCAGATGCTTATGAGCTATGTGACCCTGGGCAAGTCAGTTAACCCTTTTTGCCTCAGTTTCTCATCTGTAAAATGAGCTGGAGAAGGAAATGGCAAACCATTCTGGTATTTTTGCCAAGAAAACCCCAAATGGGGTCATGAAGCATTAGACATGACTGGAATAATAGCAAAAAGACAAATTAAGCCCTTTGCAGGGCATAGGGGAGTGCAACCGAGGAGCTGTCTGTTGAGGACACCCTTGTAGGAAGGAAAAGGGGGATTTCACCCCATTCTCCCCTTCCACCATTGGCCACATAGTTTTTGAAGGTGAGTTACTCAATCAGGACCAGGATCCACTAGTGGAATGGAGAAAGACATATACTAGACACAGATATGGATATAGAGACACAGTCATATGAAGTAGGAAGCAGCTTCCAGGTGCGGTATTTCTGGCAGCAGAGAAGGGAGCCAGCCATAGATTCAAGAGAGAGCTAGACCTGGCACTCAAGCTTTAAAAAGGGGGCAGCTGGGTGTCGCAGTGGTTAGAGCACCGGCCCTGAAGTCGGGAGGACCTGGGTTCAAATCTGGCCTCAGACCAAACACTTGACACTTACTAGCTGTGTGACCCTGGGCAGTCACTTAACCCCAACTGCCAAAAAAACAAACAAAGAGTTAAAGAACAGATTTCCACCTGCCTGTCACCCAATCCAGCTGATCAATCTAAGCAGCAGAGATGCTGTACCCAGGGTGGATTCTCCTGAAGAGAAAAAGGACATTAAGGTCCTCCTGCAGCACTCCAGTTTGCATTTCCTGTGTGTATGCTTTACTGTCATTATACTCTAAGTCTGTGTCTACTCTTTCCAAGAACAATATCAGTATTTGTGGGAAAGTGCATCCCAGGTTTTATGGGAGGAATGTTTTATAGTTACTATTTTCACTATGTCATCTTTGTCAATGTCTTTGCTAAGAGCTAATGTTACTAGCTGATTGTTAACAGTAAGCCAGTTGGTGGGGGTTTATGGATATTAGGACTGTGGACCCTGCAGGGTTACCTTTAAAACTTGAGGGAATAGTAACTACCTTCTGGTAACCTAATTTCTGAATTTGAGCCCAAAAAAGAGAATACTAAAGGGATTTTTAAAAAATTAGATACAGACTAGACTAGATCAGTGGTATCAAAATCAAATAGAAAGGGGGCCACTAAACTATACATAAGGATCCCTACAGGCTGTCTGTTGACTTAAAAAATCACATATTATCATGTTCTATTACATTTTTATTTATTTTGTTAAATACTTCCCAATTACATTTTAATCTAGTTTGGGCAGCATTGACTTAGACACTTCTGTGTTCGGTGACCTCCTAAATACCTTTGAATTCTGATTCTGTGATTATATGATTAGGTCAATTAGGGGAAGCTGACTAAAACAATGGTAACTGTTCAATTCATGGTTGTTGTTTTTTTTCCTGCTACCTGTAACTGCAGTGTGCTTACCGGGAAAAGTACTGAACTTGGAATAGGAAGATCTGGATCGAATGCTGTCTCTAAAAATTACTAGTCGTTTGGCCATAGGAAAGTCACTTAGCCTCTTTCAACTCAGTTTCCTCACTTGCAAAATTGGATAATAATACTACCCTGTGTTGTTGTAAAGAAAGAGTTATACAAACCTTTTAAAAACACTATACACCTTTGCAAAAATCACTGTAGTTAGAATCAGAAGATATGGATTGAGAAAACTTTGCAGTAACTATTTCTGATGTCCAGAATCATAGGGGACTGACACAAATATACAAACTTAATAGCCATTCTCCAGTAGATAGGTGATCAAAGGATACTAACAGTTATCAGAATATAAACTATCAACAACTGCTTGCAAATGTTCAAAATCACTAATAATTAGATAAATGCAAAAACAAGTTAACCCTAAGGTACCACTTGCCATTCATCAATCTAACAAAAATACTTAAATGTGGGGCAGCAGTGTTGTGAGAATCAAGTGAGATAATGGATGTAAAGTGTTTTGCAAATTTTAAAACATTCTATAAATGCTTATTATTATTATTATTATTATTATCCTATAGTTACTAAACTTAAAGTCTAGTGATGATTTTATGCTCTGAGCTTCTACTACACTCCTGCTGAGCTCAAGCAATATTTATAGAGCAATACAGGGGTGTGCTGGTAAATGCTTAATAATTGGGCTCTCCAGAACCAGAAGAATATTGTACATAGTAATAGCAATATTGTATGATGATCAACTGTGAATGACCTGGCTATTCTCAGCTATATAAAAATCCAAGACAATTCTGAATGACTTACGATGAAAAAAATGCTATCTGCTGAGAAAGAATTGATGGTGTCTGAATGCAGATTAAAGCATACTTTTTTACTTTACTTTTTTTTTTGGTCTGTTTTTTTTCACAATATGACTAATACAGAAATGTGTTTTTTATGACTGCACATGTATAACCTATATGAAATTGCCTTCTCATTAAGGGGGAAAGGAGAGGCAAGGAGAGAATATGGAACTCAAAATTTAAAAAAAGTGTTAAAATTGTTATTACATGTAATTGGAAAAAATAAAGTATTTAAAAAGAAAACAGTATTTAATTTAAAAAGAAAACAAATAAAAAACAATTGGGCTCTCCAGTAAAAAAAGTAGGCATATACTTTTAAGTTTAATCTGCATTATCAACATTTCTTAAGTCTAGACAGTTAAGAAAATAATAAATCACACGTTGATTTGTAGTGATTACCAATTTCTAAGGTGTAAACCCTGGCATTGAAAATTTAGCAATCCTGAGAGCTGGCTCCAGCACACCCCCGCTGTGGGAAAACTGAATGTTGGAGGCTAATTCATTTATGGCACAACTGTATTAATTAATGATATTTATTAATAATTAATGATAGTTATATATTAATATAATAACTGAATTAATTCAACTGTTCTTGAAACAATTTGAAATTAGGCAACAAATTATTAAATTGTTCATACTCACAAAATGTTCATTACATAGACATACCACTAGTGGGATTAGACATGAATATACTGGCTCTGGAATCCATTAGATTGTAAACTCCTTGAGGGCAGGTGCTATCTTTTGCCTCTTTTTGTATCCCCAGAATTTAGCACATGGCCTCGAACATAGTAGACGATTAATTCATGTTATTGATTGATGTAGTTTTAGATTCTGCCTCCGATGCTTGCTACCTGTGTGACTTCTAGGTAAATTGCTTAACCTCCCTGTGCCTTCGTTTCTTTATTTGTAAAATTAGGGTGCTGGACAATTTGAATTCTGAGGCCCCTTCTAAGCTTTAAGACTCGGATTCTATGAGTTGATGAGCTAAGAAAATTATTGACAGCAAGACACAAAAGGAAAAAAAAATCATAGTAACATTTTTGTGACAACAAATAACTGGAAACAAAACATGTGCCCAGTATTTGGAGAATGACTGAAAAAAAAATTAAAATCTATGGAATGCATTATATAATGCATTCGTGAAGGTAATCGAATATCACCGTTCCATAAACGAAGATGAAGAATTCAAGCAAACATGGGAAGATTTCTAAGAAGTTTTGCAGAGCCAAAAGAACAAGCTGCGGAAAGATTGCAACAATGTAAACGAGGTCAGAAAGGAGAGGCAACAAAACTGCGGTGAAGTAGTCACATCACATTGTTGAAGTTTAAAGACACAGCTCTTCTTTCTGTTAATAGAAGACAATCAAGTTGGGTTTGCTTGGATGTCTGTTAGGAAATATCTGCTGTGTCGAAACAAAACGTATCAATACGTTCACACAAAAAGCACTATCTAGGTGCTTCAATAGTATTAATGTCATTATAAAACTAGGTGAGGATTAGATCTGGGACGGAGAGTAAGTGGAAATTGCACTCTAGCTCCCCAGGACACAATCTGAAACGCGACTGCAAGCCAGTTATTCTCTTTTCCAGTCTCCTCTGGGCTGAGCACATTGCAGCAGCTTCCTCCTCCCTAAGGAGGGCGGCAACATCCTCGCAGTTCGCCAAGGGGAAAAATGTGTAACAGTATGCGTCTCAGCCAAGGAGGGCGGGGAGGGAAGGAGGGAGGGAGCTTCGCCTTTGGTCCTTTCTGGCTGCCTCCGCTTGCCGTAGCTGCCTCGGCCCGCCTGGGTTTCAATACGCTACGCGTTGCAGTTTGACGAGGTTGAGTCCTGTCCGCCGCCAGCTGTTTTTTTTTTTTTAAAGCCATGGCTGCCGCCGCTGCTTCTTCCTTTTCCTATTTCCCTTCGCCCCTTCCCCCAGCCTGGTCCGACTCTCTGTACTGCCTGAGCCCGGAGCACGTGCAGGAGCGGTTGCAAGACGACGCGGTGGAGACGGTCACCTCCGTGGAACAGGTGAGGCGGACGGGGCTGGGGGAAGCCGAGGCCCGGAGGCTTCTGGGAGCGGCAGTCTGGTCCTCCTTCGGTGACCGTGGCTGAAGCGCTCCTGGGGACTACCGTTCCCACAGTGCATCTCGGTGGCCCTGTGCTTGCCATCTGCGGGGTGCGGGTTCCCGGTGCCCGGGGCCGGGTGGGCTGGGGGAGGGGGAAAGTTACCTGTACCAGGGTTGGGATGGGGTGGGGAGCAGAAAGACGACCTGGGGCTACCTGGGACGAGGACTAGGGGAGCCCATGGGAAAGGTCAAGGGTCAGACTGACCTCCCCCCCCCCCATAGTGCTTCCTTTTGCTGGGGGGAGCTGGAGGTTTATCTCGGTGCTAGCTCCTGTCTTCCTCTCTTTTCCCGATTGTGCCATGGCGTGTACTTCGTTCGGGCTTTTGGGCGCGGAGGAGGCTGGGGCAATCAGAGCAATTCTCTCCTGGCCCTGATGAATTCCTTAAGTGACCCACATGTGCCCCACCATGGCCCTATCTCATCGACTTGCATGCAGTTGGTTGACCACGGTTTGATGAATACAGGGATGTAATTTCCCTCTTATTCACCAAGATGGGACTGAAGGCGTTATGCATAGGTTTTTGTTTCTCTGTGTCTTCTCCTTCTCCAAGTTGGAAAGGTTCCCGAGTTGGTTATTACTAAAATTTTCACCATCTGGTGATGAGGAAAAGCAGCCTGGTTGATTCACTTCAGTAGTGACAGAATAGCAGTAGGCTGCTTTCCAGAACAAGGCTTCTTAATACAGCAAAGGAAACCCCCAGGATGAACCATGGAGGAATCAGCTTTGTCATTTAGGTCTAGGTTTGAAAGCCTGTATTAATGTAAAATTGCCCATTTACAGGGACCCGAAGAAGTTGGTGGTTAGAGTGGAAAATCGTTTAACTGAAGAGTTAGAGCCCGAGTATTTGAGTGAAAGGAATAAAATCCTTCCCTTTTTTATTTCATTTGTGTAGGGCCATGAGAGGGGTGTGAAGATTAAATCTCCCAACAATGACAGGTTTTCCAGTATTTCCAAATTTCCCTAAGTGATAAGTTGTTGGAATTGATAGTTCAATTATATTTGTTCTTTAGCTTTTAGAATCTGATGATAATCTTTTAGATGCTATGAGAAAAGGATTACAAATGAGGGCAGGCCATAAATATAGGCGAAAAATGTAGGACAGAAAGTAGTCTGTAAAAAGTATTAACAAGGTAATAATGGAGAAAGGGGGAGATTAGTATGCTAGAGAAAAGAAAAGAGATAATGAGGGAGAAAAGATAACAAGTAATAGTTTTGTTTTTTTTTCCCAAATGATAGGCATTTTCTCCCCTACTCACCTCCCCCTGCCATGGTGTGTGTAATGTGAAGGGAACCTTGTAACAAATATGCATAGTCAAGCAAAACAAATTCCCATCTAGGCCATATCTAAAAATGAGTATTTTGTTCTGCATATTTAGTCTTGCCCCTCTTTGGAGATAGGTAGTATTTTTCATCATCTGTCCTCTGGAATTGTGGTTAACAGAGGTTTTGGTAATAATTTCTTAGATTTGTCTCATTTAATGCTCCCAACAAGTGGAGTGTTTAAATTGATAAAGGGCCATCCTTGGAGTCAGGAAGATTTGGGTTAATTCCTACCTCTGACACATTTTGACTTTGTGATCCTGGGCAAATCATTTAACTTCTTAGTAGCCCAGATAATCTTGTAAGAAGACTTATGTATAAGTTGCTGATCTGCATCTGTGAAGGTACATCATGAGTTCCTGTGTCGGGAAATCCCTACCTTGTTGATATTATAAGTTTGAATCAACAAAGTCTATATGACAACCCTGTTAGGGAATATCCCCATTTTGCAGATGATTCAAGAGAGTCAAGTTAAGTGGTTTTCCCAAGTCCAAGCTAGTAAATGACGGCTCAGAATTCAAACAGTTTTCCCAGTTCTAAGTCTAGTGGTCTTTTCATTAAACCATGTTTCTTCTAGATAGGTACATTATCAGTCAGTGTTCTATCAGGTACATCTCTGCTCTTGCTGATTGTTTGAAGCTTCTTGATGCTTGTCTTCTTAATTAATATGTCTTAGGCACCTTTTTTCTCAGGGTTCATATTTATGGCTCCTACTGGTAAAGGCAAGTTGGCTCTTCTGTTACTTCTCCTGATCTTATTTCAGCTCAAACTTTGAAGGGTAGGTAGGACAAAAGACAGGCTCAGGTTGTAGGAGAATGCTACTGGATAGGGGTGGGATCTTACCTTTGCAGCTGGCTTTGGTCTTTTGATTACAGCTATTATTCATATATTGACATATACTGAAAACTGACACTTAATTTTATGCTTTTGTTGCTGGTAACAAATAGGCACTTATCCATAGTTCCACGTCCAATTATCATAATGCCATATTTTAATAAGAAAATGTGATGTTTGAAGTGAAACCAAATAATGCTTGGCTAGAGGCCTGATCCCTCCCTTTATCCCTTTTCCCTTGTTTTGTCAGTGCTCCCTTCTTAATGTAACCATCTGGAATCCATCCCTTTGCAAATGCTCTGTGACTGAGGGCTTGTAGGCTTAATACTGGGATATTCACATTCTGAGATATTACCTTTGCCATGAACAGATTGTTCACTGACAATATAGCTTGAAGTTTTTTTCTTTTTTTTCCTTTTGGCCACCAATATAAGTGATAAAATTTGTCATTACCCAGTTGTGGAACAGTCAATCAACTAATTGGATGTTTACTATGGGTATTGTTAGCTACTTTTAGGGCTGTTATGTAGATGAGGGATTAGACTTGTTTGGTTTGGGTTTAGAGGACAGAATTAGGCTGGGAGAAGTTGCAGAAGGGCATTTTTAAAAAAAATTTGTTCTGGTATAAAGAATACCTACCTCATGATCAGCCTCATAATCAGTTGATTACTGACTGCCTGAAGAGGTATCAGGTTCCCCTGTCATTGCAGATTTCAAGTAGAGGCTGGATACTGCTTTGCTGAGGATGTTCCAGATGGTATTTGCTTTGGTATATATTGGAGCAGAGGACTTCTGGGGTCCTTTCAACTCTTTTGTGATTATGTGATTTTTTTGTGGTTTCTGCCTTCTAGGAACTTATATTTTGTTTGGGGAGACAAGCCTTATACACATAAAACAATCAGGAATCCTGTAATTATAGCTTATTTATTTATTTATTTATAGCTTTTTAGAGCTAGAAGTGATCGTATAGAGATCATCTATTTCAGATTTATCAAACAGGGAGCGAGAGGGAGGCATTACAGCCTGAGCCGGAACTAGATTAAAATATATTTAGGTAGTATTTAACAATTTAAAAAAAAAACCGCAATAGAACATAGTTAATGTTAATAGGTTTGGCGCACAAAGTTCCTTTTTTATAGCTTAGGGGCCCCTGTTTCCATTCTAGTTTGATACCACCGATCTAGTTCATCCCTTATTTTATGGGCAGGAAACCAAAACCCAGAAAACTTTATTTTATTTATTTATTTTTTTTGGGTGAGGCAATTGGGGTTAAGTGACTTGCCCAGAGTCACTCAGCTAGTGAGTGTTGTGTCTGAGGTCACATTTGAACTCGGGTCCTCCCAACTCCAGGGCTGGTGCTCTATCCACTGTGCCACCTAGCTGCCCACCAGAAAAATTTATTCATTCACAAGTATTTATTAGGCCCCTATTTATAGGTCTGACCCCATGCTAGGTACCTGGAATAGAGAGACCATGCCTTGCTGCTTTTATGTGAGAAACAACATGTATACGTGTAACAAAGTAGAAAATATGCGCAAAGTAATATTGGGGGAATAAGGCAGGGTACAGCCTAGGAGAGGAGCAGCCAGGTGGTGCAATGGATAGAGTGCCTCAGACACTTAACGCAGGAGTAGTCACTTGACCCCACTTGCCTCAGTTTCCTTATTTGTCAGATGAGCTGGAGAAGGAAATGGCAAACTACTCCCGTATCTTTGCCAAGAAAACCCCAAGTAGGGATATGAGGAGTTGAACACAACCGAAATGACTCAACGACAAGGCAGGGCACTGTGGACTGGGAGCGTCAGGAAAGGTCTCTTGAAAGAAGTGCTGTTTGAACAGAACCTTGAAAGAAGCTAGGCATTTTAAGATAGGAGATGAAGAGGAAAAGCATTCCAGGCCCAGGGGGCAGCCTTTGTGAAGGCATAGATATGGAAGATGGAATGTCATGTGGGGAGCAGAAAGTAAGCCTGTTTGGCTAGGGCGTAGAGTGTTCAAGGGGGAGTAATGTGTGATCCGCCTGGAAACCTAAGCTAGAACTAGAATTGTGAAGGGCTTTAAATGCCAAACAGAGGATTTTGTATTTTATCCTAGAGACAATAGGAAGCTGCTGAAGCTCTGTGAGCAGGAAAGTGACATGATTAGACCTATACTTTACTTATATCAATTTAGCAATTCTGTAGAGGATGAGATTGCAGAAGGGAGGAGCTTGAGGCCGGGATATCAGTTAACAGTTTATATGCAGTAGCCTAGGCTAGAAATGTTGAGGGTCTGGACTAGGGAGGTTTTGGAATGATTTGAAGAAAGTGGACAGATGTTAGAGATGTTTAATTGGTCTTGACAACACTTGGCAGCTGATTGAATATGGAGGCTGGGCAGAATGAAGAGTCAGGGTTGACTGTAAGGTTGCTAACCTGGGTAGTTGAAAGAATGGTGGTGCCCTGCACAGATATAGGGAAGTTGGGGAAAAGGATGAGTTTTGGGGGAAAGATACTGAGTTCCATTTTGGAATCTCGAATTTTAGATGCCTCTATGACATTGAGTTAGAAATGTCCACTAGGCAATTGGTGATAATGTTAGTGGTGCTGTGGAGAAAGATTAAAAGTGGCTATGTAGATTTAGGAGTCATCTGCATAGATGTGATAATTGACCCCTTGGTTGCTGGTGAAAGCTTTGAGAGAGAGTAAAGGTTTAGAGGGAGAAAAGAAGGCCCAGGACAGATATTGGGGGGAACACTCGTGTTTTTAAGG